TCAGATTACCTGCGAAGTCGAAATCATCTAGTTGCATCCGAGCTGTCCACTGCATCTCTCACTTTCCATGAGATGTTGACGTTTTCATAATCCATTCGACCACCAGAAGAAAGAGAATGGGTGGTGGTAAGTATTCTTGTACGACACCTGTTTCTACTTGGAATGAGTCTATGAGTTGCCTTCCATGCATGATTTTGCAGTTTAATCCGTCATAAGAATTCTGTATGATGTTGACAATTTTCTCACGTACACCACAGTGTGGAAGACGTTTCCATAATGTTTTCCTGTCCATACTGTCAAGCGCTTTTGCATGGTCAAAGAAGTTGATATATAGTGATGAGTTCCATTCAAACGATTGTTCCACAATGATCCGTAGTGTCACAATTCGGTCGGAAAACGATCTATCTCTAAGGGATCCAGTCTGTTGGTCTCGAAGTTGCGTGTCTACTGAATCTTGCATTCTGTTTAACAGCACTCTGTTGAAGACTTTTCCTGGTATTGAGAGTATAGTGACGCCTCTGTAGTTCTGACACTTGCTGAAATCTTTGTTTGGTATGTTGAAGAGGTGTCATTGTTTCAGGTTTGTTGGTGGTTAGATTTAGTCTACAAAGGACAAAGGACGCACAACAGTAATCATGGACAAGGAGGAATATATCAAGAAAGCCGAGGAGCTACTTCAGGACAGAAGCGTATATAAACCAGTCGACACAAACCCTATAAAAAAGTTGGACAATCAAATCTCAAGGACTCTAAATAGGCTTGTCAAAACAGGACAAAAATCAAATCAAGATCAATGGAGAATGAAATCCAATGGACCAACAATTCCACGATTCTACGGTAGGCCAAAACTCCATAAGCCTAACATCCCACTACGTCCTATTGTGTCCCTCCCCGGAACCCCAACCTACAACATATCAAGAGAAATCTCAAGGATATTAAAACATCTGGTGGATAAATCCAACTACTCCATTAAGTCTGCCACAGAATTCTCGGATAAACTCAAGAGGATTCAAACTGACAACCACGAAATGATCATATCCTTTGACGTAACAGCTTTATTAACCTAGATAGAACCAAACTTAGCTAAAGAAACTCTTTCTCTGCTCCTCACCAACGACACAAATCTACACAAATATACAAAGCTTCGGAGTCAAAGTTTGCTTGAACTCATCGACCTATGCTTAACAACGCATTATCAGTTCAACAACAGAGTCTACGAACAAATAAAAGGAACACCAATGGGATCACCAATATCAGGACTCATCGCCGAAGCGGTAATGCAGAGACTGGAAGCGTCGATTCTGCCAGTGATCAAGCCAAAATTGTGGGTTCGCTATGTAGACGACACATTCGTTATTATCAAAAGGAATGAGCTGGAGAAAATCTACAATCAGATCAACAACGTCTTTGATGACATCAAATTCACGATGGAAAAGGAATCAAACAACGGTCTATCACTCCTGGATGTACTAATCACCAGAACTAGCACAGGAAAACTAGAAACTCAAGTATTTCGAAAGCCAACCCACACCGACGTAATTCTCAACTACGACAGCAACAACCCAAGAACCCACAAGATTAACTGCATACAAACTCTGTTCAAGAGAGCGAAGACACACTGCAGCACATACGAAACATTAAAAAACGAGGAAAAACACCTGATGACTATCTTCCAAAAGAACGGCTATCCACGCAACTTCATCAAAAAACATCAACCGAAACCATCATCAGAAGTGAAATCAAGCACAGGAACAAATAAACGCATCATCCTACCATACATCAAAGACATATCGGAACATACAGCACGACTACTGAAACCATTTGGAATAGGTGTGGCACACAAACCAACAGAATCACTTCAGTCAATCCTATGTAGACCAAAGGACAAAATGACAAAGGAAGAAAAACCAAATATCATCTACAAAATAAATTGCTCAAACTGTGAAAAACACTACATAGGACAAAGTGGATGGCCTCTTCAGCTCCGTTTACGTGAACATCAATTAGCAGTCAAACGCCACGACAACGCTTCGCTTATCTCAATACATACCGACAACTATGGACACGTGGAAATACTGGGTAGGGGGAGGACAAAGAACACTAGAGAATTTTTAGAAGCTTGGCACTCAGGTCAATTAGCAATCAACAAACACATCGACATTGACCCAATTTATCAACCAATCAGGAGAATCATAGGTGACACTGGATCAAGAAACAGATCAAAAGAGGGAGGCAATCAAAACATAGTTGCAAACAACGACAGGTCAAAGGTCAACAACAACCAATCAAGATCGTGGTTAGCAGAACAAGCTACAGGTCAAACGTGGAGAGATTCTAATGCTTCACTTCTATCTGAAGTTCGTGCTGATGATGTTGTTCAGAAGAACAATGAAAGCTCCACAACCAAAACAACCAGCTCAGAGAACGAAACACCACCATAGTCTACCCTAAGAATGTCACACCTCACTTTACCTCATAGATATCCGTCTACGGCGATAAGGCCTTTTACACAAGAACGGAGCTATCACTACAAAGTTCCTATAAAAAGGCCGTGCATGACCGACCTCAAACACTTTTCATTTGTGCTCGGTCACGCTCCCAGGTCTCTAAGACCAACACTAATTTACCTTCCTTTTCAGGTAGGTTCCTCAAGAAACACCGTTCCACAGTGTGGGCAGCAGGAAAGTTACATCCGCCCTCATACCCGTAAAAGTACACGCGACCAAATCGGTTACAGTCATATCCTTCCTACACCCCCTAACATTTCTCTTATCTCCACGACTAGTCCTCACATTCTTTCCTGGTATTGAGAGTATAGTGACGCCTCTGTAGTTCTGACACTTGCTGAGATCTTTGTTTGGTATGTTGAAGAGGTGTCGTTGTTTCAGGTCTGTTGGTACTTGTAATTCCTCCCAAACCTTGCTGAAGAGAGTGTGGAACATTCTTATAATTACTTTTCTGTCTGCTTTCATCGACTCAGCCTGAATGTTGTCCTCTTCAATTATCATTGGTGGATATATTATTCAGGCAATCTATTAGAAAGTACCGGTCCTTTGAGATGATGGAGAAAATTTGCATTTCAGATGGGTGATTGTGACTGAGTTTCATTCTCCTAGTTTGATCTTTTGGTTGTTATGCTTTCATTGTTCTGCTGAATAACATCATCAGAATAAGCTTCAGGTAGGATTGATTCCACTGCTTTAGATATAGAGGCAGGAACTGCAAAGGTTAGGGTAATATTCCTACAACTGTAGAGTATTTGGAACACAATATAGCTGTCATTCAATGCCAAAGTCAAACTTTCTAACACTGACGTTGAAATGGTTCTACGCTACGGAGTTGAGAACAGGCGACCTACCGCCGCCTTTTGTAAAATTATGTTTATTTATAAACATCCGTCTATTCAAGGCACTCCGGACCAATGTTCAGAGACCAACAATAATAAAACGATCCAGCTGCTTGTTAGGGATGATTTTAGGAGATACCCATGATGGACAGGATACATTCTTCGGAATTCAATAACCTGCATTTTATGGTGGGCCATAACTTGGAAACCTTAATGTAAAATGACGAGATGCAAAGTAAAGATCTCACGGTGCCAAGAATCAAACGCCAGACATCAGTATGATAAACAGCACTTGCAAATAACTGGCAAAATCGATTCCAAGATTGGTTACATTCTTAGATAAGTAATGATTTCTTAAGATATCGTTTGTCATGCATGTGATTTCTCTGTAGTGGGTTCAAAACAATCTGACGGAAAGAATGGAAACTCCAACTAATAAAGATAGGCTAAACAACATAAATATTTGCTACTTATCTCTAGATTTAAATGTTCTTCACTCTAAAATGCAGTCATCAAAGGACATAAAACTAGGTTTTTCTAGATTCTGTCCATAAAAAAATATTTTTTAATTGTTTATTTTAGGAGCTGGTGTTGCAGAAAATTCTAGACTATAGTGTTTAAAAAAAATAAAGGTTCACAATGAATATGGAGACGAAATTCATACATAAAGGATAATATTTCAGCTGTATTAAGTAGCTTTACTCTTTTATGACAGTTTTTATTCAACCACTCGATTAGCCAACCGAGATAATATTTTTATCTTAGTACAACAATGGCCTTATTTCATTTAGCTATTAGTTCACCTTAAATGGAATATTTTGTGGTCTAACATAACACTATTTGGTTGTAGACATAAATAGGTTTTTGATGGTACTACTTTGACAGAATATCTTGGTAGGGTTCATCTTATGAGCATGTATAAACTAGTATGTTTAGCGGTAAACTTTATATCAATTTCAATACGTTCAAATAATTCAATAAAATAGATTTATTGATCAAGTCATGTGTTTTACTCATAACAATTGTTTGATGACAATTGGACAATTAAATGACACAAAAATGAGTTATTGCCTAACAAATGAACTAGAACTTACAAAAAACTACTAATTCAAATTGATATTAAAGTAGAAAACAGAAGAATAATGAGAAAAGATTTTTAGGAACAATTATATCACACATATGAAAAATATGTAACCGCTGCACTTTGAAATGAACGAAATAAGTAGTCTAATACTAAGAAAAATCAGATTACTAAATAGCTTTTAAAAATGCATTTTTATCCATTTTGTGAAAAGGAAACATGTACACTTTTAAGAACATTCTGTTTATGACAAACGTTTCTCAAAAATAAGTTAAAATAATTGTCAAATATAGTTGAAAAACTAACTGAACTGTTCATTCATGAGAAACATAGTTAATGTCGAAAAACAAGCTATTGATTCAGGTTTAAAGACAACTAATTTATCAGTTGATATGAACAACTGTTACCTTTTTGTTAAAAGGTGATCGCAAAATGAACCTGACAAAGTTATTTTGAAGGTTTAGAATTTAAGAAATCTTCAAGAAATAATAAAAAACTTACTGATATATATGGCTCAGCTATAAAGAGAATATAGACTAATAATAAATTGAAATAAGTAAGCTAAAGCTGTTTTCATTCGTATTTAAAACAGTTAAATAAAAACTGACACAGTACTATTGAGTTTCCAGGGATTAAAAGAAATATCATATACAATAGACTGCCAAATATCAACATCACACAAATGTCTAAAATAAATTGACGTTAATGTAAGGAAATTTTGCAATGATTGTCCTAAAAATGAAATATAGTACTAATAAAAAAAAAGCATCTGAAACCGAATTTGGAGTGTCATAGTTTAACCATGTGGAACTGAAAGTGACACATCCTTAGAAGCACTCACATTTTATTGCAGTGATCATCAACTTATACTGGAAAGATAAATGTATAAGTTGTTATTTTTGTTATGTGCTGGTAAAAGTAGAAAAAAACTAGTTCAGTTAAAAGTACATTTTAACTCATAAACTCCTGATTTGATTATATGAACTAACTTTCACTAATATTTTCAAAACGTTTAGAAATCTCTAATGGAAGGTCGTTCATTAAAATAAGTACCAATAATTTTCGGTACCACTGGAGACGAAAGAAGATGGCAACTTTTATAGGTTCACTTATATGACATTCTGATAAACATGACGTTCAAACTAACTCATAATAATGAAGAAAATGTTTATGTTTGTTGTAATACAGTCATAGTTTGAAGAGTAAGCCACCAGAACTAGTGGTTTTTCTCAAAACTATATATTAAGTGAACACATTCCAGCTAGACAAGTATCAAAATTAGATTCAGTTGAAGAGTTCTTTTGGTACCAAAGCTATGATCTAACTTGATTAGGAGTAAGAAACAAGTTATGTATAAGTTGTCGTTTAAATAAATCTATGAAGCTTTATTAAATGTCAAACTTATTATACCACTTACTGAGTGCGAACAAATTTTATGAGATTTTACACCATGAGGAATTTCAATCAAAACTTTTATGAAACATAGTTATTGACAATACCTTATTTAACAACAGTTGTCCTAACTACAGCTTTTGCTGTAGTCTGTGAGGTGATGGACCTGTGAGGATAACTATCACTATTGTAAACAATTTCGCTCATTGTATCCATTAATTTTCATTTCCAGAGCAAAAATCTTTATTTATCTAAAAGAAACTTGTGTACTTAATGCTGAGTTCAGCATTATTTGTTATGCATATAGTTCATAAGTGTATTTATAATACCTAAATCTCATTATCGACTTGTATTCAAAATACAAAATAAATAACGGTTATCAGTGTTAAAACTTCACCTACTTTCTTTTATTTGTATCTTTTTACGATGATAATATGTCGAATAAATTGAACAAGTTAACAGTGAAAAAATATTTTGCAAAATATTGAAATCCTAGAGAATGTAGATTAAAATTCATAGTTTGTATAGCTTAGGCCATCTTCAGACAGTAGTTTTTAAACGTCTATTTGCTTTCCAATAAATAAATAGTAGGATACTGAGAGTCTAAAACCTTTTAAGGTCAAAAAACGATAAATACATGCGCATCAATCTAAAATTATGACATAGAGAGAACAAAAATATCATATAGTGTTTAATTTTTAAAGGATACTGACAAGTATTTTTTCGTATGTTTCACAAACATCTACAGCAATACACATACGATACTCTCTGTAAACACATTTCAAACAGTCCAACTTCTTAGTAAATTCCATTGTGTGCGAAAACAAAAAAGGTTTTCAAAAAAGAACGTTTTAGAAGGTCAATGTGGAAAGTGAACACGGGTGTTCAATATATAGTTTTTTGCACAAATGGTGGCTATTAGGATACTCAACCCTTAGATAACAAAGTTTCTGCAGTCGCCCACGATTCTGATGGTTTTGATAATCACATTTCCCGGATTTCCGTTATATTATGTTAAACATTTACAATCACTGTACAATTCATAAGTCTTTGTGGTCATTTATGCATCCTTTTTGCTACAAAGAACTTCCACTGACCAGACATACATACAATTATCCGGAAAATCCAGGTTTCCCTGAAATATTATCTTATATGGCTCAGTTTACGGGTCTTCAATCTTTTATGCTATCGGCAGAGAGAAAAGAATATGGCTTTACTGCTGTTACCAAGTCATAGTCATAAAATGATGGATAAGAGCGGCCAAATAGTAAAGGCATATTCTTCAGATTTTAGGCTTCTGAAGTGACGAATACCCAGATCATTCGCTATGAGTGTCTGAACCCTACATTTTTGTAAGTAGGGTGGTATATCATGGTGATGCTTACTAAAGTGCACGATTCCACATTTGTTGTGGTTAATAGGTAGATGCTATGTTTAGCTGCAGGTAGATAAGTTATCAAGGTCACTGTGAATCGTGGCTATATTTTCGTTTAGATCCTCAGGCTTATAGCTGTATACAATTTCCAGATCATCTGTGTATATGTTTGCTTTTCCAAATTTTTTATTATTAAATATATAGTTCATGTACATGAGAAACAAGAGCGGACCTATTACACTTCCCTGGATAACATCACTGGTCATTGGCTATGGTGATGAAACGCAATCGTTGCACTTAACCATTGGCATCGGTTTAGGGATGAAACAGACCATGAATATATTGGGTTACTGATTCCGAAGGACTTAAGTTTAAGGAGAAGCCTTTTATGTGGGACCTTTTCAAAAGCCTTCTTAATGTCTTAGAAAAGGGCTGATACTAGAGGACTTTTGTCTTGTTTTTGTGTGATATCATTGAAATAATCTTGCAGGCATGTGTCACACGACCTAGACCTCAAAAACCCATGGTATGAGGTCGATATCAAATTGTTATTAGGTAGGTGTTGTATTAGCTCTTCCTCTACTATTTTCTCCACCACCCCAGATACTAATGATCTTAATGGGTCGGTAATTTTAAACATTCGCTGTAGGCCCAGATATAACTGTCAGGATGATATGTGTAGTGTTCCAGTTATCAGGGTAACACTTTGTAGTGACGGATGTAGGGTGGTGGTGTTTGGTTCTCTGAGCTGGATGTAGGTATTAGTTTGAGAAGAATAACGCACAGATCATTGCTCCCATTTTTCAGCATGCTCATAGGAATACCGTCTGATCCTTTAATGTTTCAGTGTACTAATGGCCTTAGAAATATGTGGTACACCAAATTCTTTACTGGTATTTTCACAAGAAGGCATTGTGGTCAGGTGTGATTCATTTATTGGGCTTTTGTTTGTTGATGTATCACAAAAATATTCGCCAAACGGCTCTGTGATACGTTTCAGGTCCTCATACACTTGGTTGACCCTCATCATGCTTTTATTCTTTTCACTTTTGTGCATTTTAGTTCATTTTAAAATATTTTAGAGAGTGCCGAAGATTCATTATTCAGATTGAGATCATGCTTTTCCTGAGCAATTGCCATTATATGACAAATTATCTTCGCCTCAACACATATTTCTGTCATTCTTACTAATAAGAGAAGTCATTACGTTTATTAACTCGAGAAGCATGTGTTCGAAGACTTTTTCTTATATGACCTGGCATATATAAGTCTTTAGAAATTCTGGCCCTCCAGGATCCTGATGGCGCAAATTTACTAAAGATATTATTTGTGTTGTGATATAAGAAATTTGTTGGCTCATCCGTATTGTTTGCGGTAAAGTAGTTGATCGAGTTATTGCTTCTGAGGCCATTCCGAACGTTGCTCAATCAATCTTATGGTGAAAACAAAATCCAATATATTTTTGTCTGGTTGGGCCGTCAACATAATGAATCCACTTTCCAAGCTCTAAGCATTCAGTAAATGGTTCAAATCGTTTAGGTGCTTTCACTGGGAATCAACAGATTTCAAGCAAGCTGAAGTTCCCACGAATAGCTGTAGATTCACAAATACTAGAGGTTCAGCAGCAATCGGTGATGCTTTAGTAGTAGAGTTCGTCCTAATTAGCCAGTTAACAAATGAATAATATCTATCGACCTAGTGAGTAAACTGTCTACTTCAAGTAAAAAATTAATAGATTTGTATTCAACTACAATAATTATAAGCTACTTCAGAGGAGAAAAAAAATGGTAAAATTCGGCTCCGAAATCGATATAGTTTAAACATGTACACAGCTAGTGGTTTGGAAGCAGATTGCGAGTTTACGCGTTTAGATAAATCAGTGCTTCATTAAGAAGCTTTACAAACTCATGTACGTGTTTTTGAGGTAAGGCTACTCAGTATCAGTGCATAAACATTGAAGAAGAAGTTTTCCCGAGTTCATGATGTATATTTTTAACCTATTTATAGTGAGAAACCACTTTATCACCGCTCCCGAATGTTATAAAATGTGTCTTTCAAAGACTTAGTGTTTAGCATCCTTCATCTAAACGGACGGTATAGCCGATAGTTTTCCAATTTGAGAACTTTCCCTTTTTCTCTAACACTTCTGAAAGCATCCTGACGTTTCTCTTCTGTAAGATGAGAGAAAAGTCAAAATTGTCTTTAAGGTGCATGATGATCAAGGCATCATCACAAACCTAAACCGGATTACAGGGTTTCTAAGCACGTTGAGATTGGGGTCATTTATGTTTGGTAATTGTATTTCACACGGGTTCCTGTTCACTCTGCCCACTGGCTGGATAATCTTAGTAGGGAACTGTACATCCAGTCCATTAACTGATATCCGTCTTAATCTTAGGTTGTTCAGTATCCTAAATGGCAATCTGCGATCTATGTTAGTCCAGTTGACAGGATTCCACTCACCCTTTATTAGAAATTTTGTGTACTTCTGTTAATAAAAATAATAGATTTATTCTCAAATAACAGCATGTTACAACTACAACTATTAACGTACGGCCTATCAATATCGTCTTGACAGTGTTATGCAGTGCTGAGTAGAAATGACGGTACCACAAAGCTTGTGAGAATCTGATATCTGCAGCTTTTAATGGTTTCCTCAAAAATGCCTTTGGTTTTTCGAGTAGTGCAACTCAGGTGCGAAAAGCTACTGCAATGGTAAACGATGCTCATACCACATTAGGAAACGACGCTTAGTTGGGTTTACCAATCTTCGCCTTATCGAAACTCGAATCCATCTACAATCATCCCAATTGAACAAAAAACGACTGACTGAATTAAACCAGAGTAGGGATAGCTGACTTAAAATAGATGTGTTGGGAATAAAAACGGGATGCAAAAGGTTTTTGCGCCCCGAATTTTAGGCGGCGACAATCACGAAATGCATGGAAAACCTAACCGTAATGTAAACAAAACAATCTAATCACTCAAGTTGTCTACAGTTATCCAAAATCTTACAAAATTCATCGCGACTGCGACTGCTACTAAATTGGAAACAGTTGAATGGGCATATATCACAAATGCAAACAACCTAATGTCCTGAAAGAAAGGTCAATATTAGTGACAGCAGTTCTGTGAGATTATTCATCAAATGTCCTAAGAGAATTATTTTTGGGAGTCTAATTCTATTGGTCAATTCCTACTGGTCAATATTATGGTCGTTCTAACTGTCAATATCGCTTATTTCAATGTTGGTTCCTATCTTACCTAACTGTATAAATACGCATTATCTGTAAAGCTTGTTATTCATTACTTCATTCCTTGTGTACTCGACCCCACAAACAACATCTTTCAACGGTGTTGGTTTCTAATATATGGGAGATTTGAGAGCAGTATTTGGGGTCGTATTGGAAAATCTCAATTTGGTCAATCGACAGGACTTCGAAAAGCTACATAGCAGCATTATAACGAGTTCAGAAATCGATGACTGACTACAATGAGATGTCAGTCTTCTTGCACGTGACCAAGAAGAGACCCTAAACCTAGACTTTGCTATTAGCTGGCTGTAAGTTGGTTAAGGGTCTGTTAGGTAAGCTGATGTCTCAGAGTATCTCTGGGGTCACCTTGCTGTTGGTTTATAGACTAGATAGCCAAAGGAACGCGCAGTACTAAAAAATGAGGAGTAGCTTTATTTGATAGATCTACATCCCGTTTTATGGTTTTAATGACCTTTCTCATAAGGTTGAAACATTGAAATCTGTAGGCTGTTGCTTGGAATTCGATGAATAATTTGATTCGTCGCAGTACAAAATTTGAGAACTATAGGGTCTTGTTAAAGGAACTTAACATTTTGACTTCAGGTATTCAACGTTGATTCCTTGAGGAATCTGTTGCACGTTTGGTATACTGCGAAAGTCTGATGACTAAATCTTCATGAAATTTTTTTATAAATGAGCTGTTTGATGAACTTTTGGGATATTTTAACATGGAATATGTTAAAAAATACTAGGTACGACAAGTATTATGAATCGTATTTATAATATCCGATACTGAACCATTATTAGGATAACCATCTAAGCATTGAATTTATACCACCTGTTGTTGTGAAGCTTTATTCTCTAATCGAAATGAATTGTTTATCGACTCAACATATAATCTGTTAAGGGAAATCCCGAAAATATTTAGGCATATTAAGTTCCTCGCATTATTCGTGAATTAGGTTGTTACGTCCAGTTTTTTGCTCGTTGATCTTACGAAGCACGGTTGTCGAGCTATTTGTAATTCACAGTCCCCAAATGTTTAAACCAAGAACGAAACTCCAAAGTAGATACCAAAGTTTATTCCAAATCACAAATTCGACCAAAATACTGTATTACAAATAGACGACCAATGTCATTCTTCTAATTTATTAGCTCTTGGAGCAAAAAACTGCAAACGAAC